GATGTTGCTGCACAGAGAGTTCGAATATCTTGTCATGTTGTTTTTCTTAAGCACCAGCTCTATTTTGGGACAACTTCGGATTCCACACCTCGGTCTCCTCCGGATTTGGATTTCTTAAGCTCCTTTGAATTGTCTACTTCGGCACTTCTTCTTGAACCTCCTGTCACCGATTCATTGTTGTCCGAGGTGTCCACTGATTCTTCTTCGGCCAGCTCCCCGTCCTCCTCACCTTCTTCTCCAAGTACCAGCTCCAGTTCTTTCTCGTCAACCAGTTCCGGTTCGGGTCCTGATGCTTCCTCTACTTCTCGTTCCTCCTCGTCTTCGGCAGCATCTGAACCTTAGCAGCCGAAAAATAATGCTGCTCTCCCATTGCGTCGGTCAGATCGAGCGACTAAGGGACAGCCTCCCAAACGCCACTCTGACTTTGTTGCCTTTTCTACTCCTGCTGTGGTTGTTCCTGCCACATATAAGCAGGCCAAAGGACAGGCTGAATGGGATAATGTTATGAATGTGGAAACTGAAGCCCTGGAAGCTGCACATACGTGGGATCTTGCTCCACGCTTGCCTGAGTTTTCGGTCATCGGTTGTCGATGGGTATTCACTATTAAGATGAATCTTGATAGTATAGTGGAACGTTTCAAGGCAAGATTGGTTGCTCAGGAATTTTGTCAAGAGTATGGGATTGACTATGCAGAGACATATTGCCCCAGTTGCGAAGATGCAAACTGTTCGAAGTCTGTTGGCAGTTGCCACTATGAAGAGATGGTCATTGATTCAGCTTGATGTGAAGAACACATTTCTTCATGGTGATCTCAATGAGGTTATTTACATGGAACTTCCACCTGGGTATACTAAAGGTGACAGTTCCACGGTTTATCGTCTTTGCAGATCGTTATATGGCCTAAATCAGGCTCCTCTTGTGTGGTTTGAGAAATTTCAGGAAACTATTGTTCAGGCTGGTTTTCAGCAGAGTGACAGTATTCCTTCTCTCTTTCTCCGTACTATGCCGCGTGGCCTGACTGTCTTGTTGATATATGTTGATGATATGGTTGTCAGCGGGGATGATACGGAATGAATTCAGGAGGTAACTCAGACTTTACGCTCTGCATTTAATTTAAAGGAACTCGGTGACTTATCATATTTGCTTGGTTTGGAGATTCATCGTTCTTCTGAGGGTATTCACGTTGGTCAACAAAAATATGTCATGGACTTGCTCGAACAAGCTCAGATGGATGAGTGCATTCCCTGCGCAACCCCTATGGAACAAAATCTGAAACTTCAACAAGCTGATGGTGAGTTATAGTCGAATGGGTCTCTGTATCGAAGAATTGTTGGAAGTTTGATCTACTTGACTCATACTCGACCAGATATCTCCTACGTTGTCCAAGTTGTGAGTCAATCATGTCAGCACCTAGAACGACTCATTGGACAGTCGTGCAGCGTATTTTGCGATATCTTAGTGGCAGCCCGGATATGGGATTATTGTTTCCGGCGGGGTGAATTGACACTCGAAGCTTATGCAGATGCTGATTATGCTGGTTGTCTTGGTACGAGACGGTTGACTTCAGGTTGGTGTGTTAAAGTGGGTGATTCTTTTATTTCCTGGAGATGTAAGAAGTAGGATCAGGTATCTAAATCTTCTACAGAGGCTGAATATCGTTCCATGATTGAGGTGGCCTCGGAGATCACCTGGTTGCATCGGTTGTTGGCTGAGTTTGGTGTTCTGGTTAAGAATCCAATTAGGCTGTATGTTGACAACACTAGTGCTATCCAGGTTGCCACTAATCCAGTCTTACATGATCGCACGAAGCATATTGAAGTTCACATTCACTATATTCGGCAGCTTGTGACGGAAGGATCTGTGGAGCTTGCGTACATCACTTCAGAAGATCAGACAGTAGATCTTCTAACTAAGGCAGTATCATCTACACGTCACTGGTTTCTAGCACACAAATTGATGTTGCGTAAGCATTATCAATTTGAGGGAGAGTGTTAGAAGTTTAAGTACTAAAATGTAATTAACCCGTTTAGGGTTAAGTTCGGCCAAGTATATATGTGTGTTGAAGTGGCTGAACTATGCTTGTAATCTGAACGTGAGAAATAAACAAAGAACTCTGCCTTGTGCCGTGGACTAGTCTCAACGATCATCGTTGAGGAAATCACGTAAATCCTGTGTCTCGTATTTAGATTTTCGTACAATTGATCAAGACTTTGACAGCAAACATCTGCATTCGACAGGACGGTCTTCGGCATCAAATGCTCTGCAACGTCAGCCGTGGTCATCTTAGTTTGTTGTAGTAACTAGCGAATTTTGTCAAACAGTTGGTGGTCATCCAGCAGGTGGCAATTCTTGGCCAACACTCTGAACGCTTCGAAGATGCATTACAAGAGCTCAACGTGTTTGTCCATCCTACCTTTCCTGATTAGGGCTGGATCAGCTTCTCTCCGCGGCCCCGGCGCTACCAGAAAGGTCACCAAGCGGAAGCCGCGCGCCTCCTCAAAGAAGTCCCAGACCACGTACATCACGGCGGATCCGCCCAACTCCCTATTGATGGTTCAGCAGGTCGCCGGTGGGGTCCGGTTCACCGACGCCATGCTCCCGGTTCTGAAATTAAAGCCGCATAGGCTAGGCACCGATGGGAGCTGAGGTGCGTTTCACCACCATCATGTAGCCCCAAAAGGAACTCGAGTCAACAAGCAGATCCTGACAGGGTGAGTTCCTCTTCAAGATCCAGATCTATGTTTTCAGTAAACCCAGATCTATGGTGTAACTCTAATAATTTTTATTTATTTATTTTACTTTATTGTTAAAATGAGTTGGAAATGATAGAAGATTAAAATTTATTTTATTTATTATTTTTTAATTGTCACGTCACTGACTTAACGGTCAACTTTGAGGGTTGACTGCCACATCAGATAAATTTAATGGAGTTGGACGGAGAGTGACCAAATTCGAATCATTTAACTAATTTAAGTGACCAAAATTGGATTTAAATATTTCTAGTGATCAAATATGAACGTTTTTTATAATTTCAATGACCAACCATGTAATTAACTCTTATTACTTATTAGCCAATGTGTGGTAGAAAAGACCCTGCTTGTGGTCTATTTTCAGTGGCTTTCTTCCCAAACCCACTCTTGCCGCTTCACCTTCTATGTGGGTAGCGGGTTATGGCAATGCGTAATTTGTTTTCTTGTCAATAGAAATGGTTAAATTAGGAGGGGGGGAGTTAAAGCATCTGTTATTATTCTACACACACAAAAAAGTAACCTCTCGTCAGTTCTCCTGGATTTACACGTATTCTATTCCCAAACTGAGAGCATAAACAACCCCACCATGCAAGCTCTTCACTCCCATGAGGCCGATGTGCTGGGTGGGCATCTTGTAAGTTATTGGGAACTAACACCATGTTTGCTTGTTAGTTATTATTGGTTAACCATTAAAATAACCACTAATTGGATTGATAAGAGATGGTTTTTTTTTATAATGTCGATAAGAGATGATTAATTTATAAGGCTTATCGGTTCGGTTATTGATATGAACTGTCATATCATTGTGATTAACCAAACCGATTCGCATGGGATTGGATACAGTCCGGTTTTGATTTGCTCCGGTCTTGAACCGGTCCGGTCCCAATTCGGTTTTGATTTTATATTGAGCTTGTGGGGATTTGAGTGGCCTAAGGCCTGAAAGGGTAAGGAGTTGGTTAAGTTTTGTACTAAGTGCAAAAGTTTGTGACCGTTTATGCTAATTATCCTTAAGTTTTGGGTGTTGAGCTCTCTTATCCGGTCTTTATCCAGTTTTTTATCCGGTCTCAAACGGTTTTTTACCTCAAATCTAAACCCAAAGATTGAATTGGATTGTTTACTATCCGGTCCCGGTCCGGTTTCGATCAAGGTTATACGATCCGGTTTCGGGTAAAACCAAATAACCCGGACCAAATAGCCAGCCCTATTTTATATGGCAAAATGTTACCATACGAGCCATCGTGACAAATTTGAAAGTTTTGAACTCATTTATTTTTATTAATTATTTGGTATTTTATTATTATTTCTCGGGACGAGATTTAATTAGCCAACCGATTATGCTAATTGTTTGGTCGGGATGGCCAGGAGCCCAGGACCCTCATATACTTGGCCAGAGGATCTTTTTGCCATGGCCACTGGCTACTGCAACAATCTGCTGCTCGTGGGATAGGCGTGCAGCTGGACCAACTAGGTCATATTTAGGACTCCATATCATCAGCACCAAGGTTGTCAACCCACAGGTTGACCCAGACCCGATCGAGCTAGTGGGTCAAGAGTTAATGGGTCACTCGTTTTTAGTCCGTTTCAACCCGGAAATATGGAAAGAGCCATTATATTGTACTTATCCCAATAAATTATATCAAATCCCATCTAACATATGAGTAATAACATATAACATTACACCAAAGTAACATGTCGTGCTTAGATCCAACATATAGTGAAAATTCACACATATTTATATAACATCAATGTTCAAATGTTCAATTAAGGATTCCAAAGATTGAGTTAGGCGAAAAGAAAAATTGGCACATTTCGCAAACCAAAGAAAAAAATGACACAATTTGACCTCCAACCCGATACCTTGTAGTGGTCAATCTGGCGGATGCTTCAACCCGTTTTTCTCACCAGGTCAGGGTCAAAGTGGGGTCAACCCACGAGTCGATCCGCGGGTTGACAACCTTGATCAGCACTAATATGATCAGTAATCTATTATGTGTATTTCGCTGTGGTGCGAGTAGAAATACCAGAAATATTGTAGTTTTAAGCAAGTTAAAATCTTGTCTTACCTAATACTTCTAGTGCCAATATGACGTTTGAAATTAGCTTCAGTTAAAAGTTAAAACACACCGTCACAGTACATGACTTGTTACTACTGACTGGCTGAGTATCGGATTCAGAAGGTTTTTACTAACCAATGTCGCACACCACTGATCAAGGAGAGACAAAATTCAAATGGAACGAATTCAAACTTGGTCCTAAATGATTCAAGACAGTACAATACATTTCCATTCGACTCCAAAATCCGAAAGGTTCAAGACACATATTTGACCTCTAGATAACAGGCCACAGATTCTTCGCCAGCCGCCGCAAAAAAACAAAAACATCGATACGTCACACCGACACAAAACCAACAGGCAGTGAAAGCAGCAATCACAAACTTCCACAATGTCGAGAAACTTCACCCCACCATCATAGGGAGATGACATATTTGACAGAAAAGAAGAGGCTGGATATGGTCAATACCAACACAAGAGATCAGTAAGTAGTTCAACAACTTACTCATCATATCAGGTCAAAGATACGCATTTAAGTACATAAAAAAGAGCACTGTGAGCACTAGGATAGGAGAGGGGAAGGCTGCCCCCTTACAGATGTGTTTCCTACAACCCTACAATCTAAACAGCAAACTAGAAATATCCATTACCCAGTCACATTATAACTCTCGAAGTTAAACAAGGAGAAGACGAAGAAGCAACTTCCACTTCATACTGGCAGTGTACCAGTTGATCCTCCAAAAGCTTTCTACAGCCGGACCTTACTCGTCATCATCTTCCTCCTGTGAAAGGAAACCAATGGCATTGCAGTAGGATTTAGAATATCGAATTCCAACAGTTACAGATCTAGAATGAGAAATCTAACAGTTGGATTCGGCCTCACCTCTCCACTTTCATCTTCGTTATCATTTACTTCAGATTTGGACTTGTCAGAGTCATCATCACCATGACCTCCAGCCTATTATTCATTCCCAAATGAATTCAGGAAAGGAACTGTAAGAACCGAGTTCTGAACTATAAACGGGAAGCTGAAACAGAAGAAGTGAAGGATTAGTCTGTACCTGTTTCTTGTTGTAAGCATCCATGGTCTTCTCATATTCAGCCTTCCTTTTGTCTGCTTTTGCCTTGTAAGTAGCCTTGTCCTGATTTGAACAACACGCAAACGAAATAAGCGACGGAATGAAAACGGAGAGCACACGCATGAACAAACGACGGAGCCGGAGGAATACTCACTGCCTCAGACATAGCTTTCCACTTCTCGCCGGCAGCTTTCCCGACCTAAACCGGATTGAGAGAAGCAAACAGATTACCACGACGCACCAGGGAAGCAATCATTTGAATTAAACAATCAGACAGCCATAAAACCGAATTCACAGATCGGAATAGCTCTTATTCAGATAGATCCACACACAGGCCACAGAACTGCGTTAATGAAACTTACAGCAGCAACAGATTTGTTGTTAGGATTCTTCTCCTTGAAAACCTTCCTGAACTCCTCCCTGGTAAAACGAAGTAACAGATCAGATTTTGAAGGCGATTCAATCAACAAGCGGAAGGAAGTTGGAGAATCAATCAAAGATTTAGAAAACGAAAAGCAAATCGCATACATGAAGACGAAGAAAGCACTGGGAGGCCTCTTAGGTTTGTTTGGATCCTTGACTGCCTTCTTCGATCTTCCAGCCGCTCTCGGCTTTAGCCTGCACAGCAGAAGTCAAACGAACATCGGAATAAGTTCCACCGATCCCCAACGCCAAAAGGAGAACAGAAGAACGAATCAATTGAACTAAGAAGCTCCTAGATCTGGAATCGCAACGAAGCCACAAACGAGATAAAATAAGCAGAGAGATAAATAGAGGTAACTCACGCAGCATCAGTACTCTTGCCATCAGCCTTGGATTTTCCTCCTTTCATTGCGATTCGATTCCTGCAGAAGTGGGGGAGGAAAACGGATGAATCAGGAGTCAGCGAGAGCAGGAAAATACGACGACCGAGTGAGAAACGGCGACCGGCACCACCGCGAGGAGTTAGAGCTTACCTGCTTCAGCCGTAGAGGATTAGAGAAGGGGGCGGAGGAGAAGCAAAGCAAACGAGTGAGCGAGAGAGAATCGGCGGCAGGAGAGTTGTGAGTTGTTTGGGAGAGGCGATGTTGTTTGGAGGAAAAGAGAAAAAAGCCAAGAGGGGTGGGGGAGATAAGAAGGGGAAGGAAAAGGGTAAAAAGAGGGCAAAGGTCTTTTTAGTAAACACTGAAGAATCGGAAAGCTACAAAAAATTGAAATCCCGGGAACCACACTGGAAGCCGCGGGCTCGGGCGGGATTTCAAAAAAAGAAATTTAGAATTTGGCCACGTCAGCGATCCGGGTATTCTTGTTGTTCAGATGAGTCGAGACTCGAGAGCGAGTTGCCACTCGGGCGCGTTGGATCGGGAAGATATTTTAGATTTACACATGGGGCCCATAGTTGTGCACCGAATGTGCAGTTGGGGTTCGCTAACCGATATCCTTTCCAGTCTCCACTTCGTGCGTTTGCCGTGTGACAGCTGGCTCAAGTTCGATCCATGGAGATGGAGTGGGGGAAACGGATGGTCGACACGTGTTATTAAAATTAAAATTCTTTTTTATGGAAAAAAAACTATTAGCGACTGGGCCTGAGGAATGAGCCTAAACTTCTTAAATCTGCAGAATAGAAGAACAGGCCCGAAAGAAGAGAAGCCCAATTACGTGGTCATATCCGTTGCTACTTGCGATGCGTCGTCTGAAGTCTGAAACAAAAAAAGAAAGGAAGAAAAAACTGAAACAACGAACGAAAACGAAAAGAATCCGAAGAAGGAGAAGGCGCGGACCTGGAGATTTCCCGTTTCCGAGATTGAACCATGGAAGGCGACGAGGCTCCGCTGCAACACCAGAGGTCTATCGTGGCTCCTCTGATCTTCTCCATCGTCGTATTGTTCCAGTTGGCCTCGAGAAGGTTGGAGCTCCTGAAGAGGGTAAATTATCATCTCCCTTCTCCTCCAACTCAATTGAATCGAAATTTTGGTTCTATCTACGATCCGATAATGAAGTGGCTATCATTTCTGGAATGGGACATTTGTATAAATTTTCCCTAGGCCTTTCTGTGGAGCGCTGCGTTAGTTATAGATACTTTGCGTGTCTCGTGATTTTGCCTTTCGTGTTCGTGTATGCTTAATCAATTTGCCAGGAATTAGATGGGTTAAATGTCTTGACCTCTTATTTGATCGACGAACTCATTGGTTGAGGCTGCACTCGTTGTGTTACAGAACGCATCTAAGAGCGAGAAGGAAGTTCAACTGCGTGCAGAAATAAAGCGACTCTACAAAGAGGCCAGCACCTTCTCGCAGTGAGTGATTCCTTCTTCATCGGGTTTCGTAGATGATTACTGAGATCAAATTTGGCTATTAGGTTCCTTAGAGTACTACTATGCATTCGTAACCTTCTTGTTGATCTGCATCCATCTTATCAATGCATATCCCCAGTCCTGAGTTTCAATTGTGGCATATTGTGCTTCTTCAGCTACCCTAGTTACTTTTTATTTGGGGTGCTAAACTTATTCAATACTAATGACTATCGACAGGCCATCGACATTTGCTCAAGCGGCCAAACTTAGGAGGTCCGCAGCTGCCAAAGAGAAGGAACTTGCAAACTGTAATAAGGCTATTGAATCAGTATTTTGTTATTTTTATTTTGTGTTGTTTGAGAAATTTATATTCAATGATTCTTCAATCCATGTATTTAGCTGCTCCCTGGATTGGATGTCTCTGCTCAAAATTGATGGTTTAGTTTGTCATATTCAATGGAGAATCGTTGATATGCAGAACGGCATATTACTGGATGCATATGTCTCTATTCCCCGATTAAGACAAATTGCAGTTTGGGGTTCTATGCGAATGAATGGTTATCAAGGATTAATTCCATTTTTGGTTGTCCCCTTGTAGATCAAGAGTCACAGGGCAAGGAGGTGAAAATGTCTTATGATTTGTACATAAAGATTTTGTTTCTCTTAAAGGTGAGTGTGCGCTATAAGTTGTATCGTCATAGTTGCTAGATTGATTTGCTGTAGCAGATACTTTAACCTAATCTTGATGAACTGAGAAGATTTTTATTTGGTGCACAGGTTATTACTTATTCTCTTTTTGTTTGCTGGTATTGGAAGGCTCCAGTTGCTGTCGTATCTCAGCAACTTGTGCAGCCATTTGGTAAGGATTTTTCTTCTTTTTATCCGACTCTTCCTTAACCTCCTGCGTTAAGCTCTCTTCAATGGCTCTATTCATAGGTTTCATTTTAATTCTTTTATCTATTTACAGGAAAGCTACTCTCCTGGAGTGCTGGTAGCCACTTAACTAACAATGTTACGGTAATTCTTTGTTAACTCTTTTGACTTTAACTGTCACATGTTCTGAGTAAGTGTGAGCCTCGTGCATTCGAGCTTCACTTTTGTGTTCGGTCACCCTATTATTTGTTTATTTTAATCGGTGTATTAGAGTTACCGCCAACAGAAAGGGGCCTCCTTGTAGTGTTCAGATTAAAGGGGCCTCCTTGTAGTTTTCAGATTCAACATGATCGTTTCTTTGCTATCAGGTTTTGTGATCTTCTTATCAGTTCAGAGAGTGATGAATCAAATGTTTCTTTGCTAACAGGTTTTTTCATTAAATTCTTATATTCAGTTTAGAGAGTGATGAATCTAATCTTTTTCCTTCATATTTCTCGTTGCATGCTTGATGAATCTGCAAGTCGCTTTTTTCCTTTGTAGTCTTTGGAGCATTATGAATTTAGAAGTGGCTTTTTTATTTCAAAGCTTAAACTCTCGGACTGTGTTTGACATGGTATTGATGGTGCTGCAGGTTGGGGTTATACCTTGGTTGATATTATCCACAAGGGTCAGTAAATTCGTTGCTCGGATCCTCAAATAGAACAAGTTACTTGATGAGTTACTGCGTCCCCTTCGATATGAGGACAACTAATCATACTATACCTTCGATGAAACAAAAACAAAAAACGATCTCTCATCTTTGATTCCTGTGTAAGCAAACGGAGATGAGGGAGTCGGAGAACCCTGTTCCCTTGTATCAGAATCTATAGAGGTCATTTCTTTCTTTCGTTTTTTCCTTGTTGAACTTGTATATTAAAGTTTTGGTATATAGTGATCCCAAAATAGTGGTTCTTGCAAGTGTTCCTTTTACTATAGTACAAACTTCATGCTAACAACTATGTATCTTAATGCAAGATTTGGGTGCCACTCTGCTGTTTTCCTTTTCTCCAGATCGGAGTTATAACTGCTGCATTCTTGATCAGGCACTCGCTCGATTTTGTTGTTTCGTGTGGATCTTGATTTGGTTGATTGATTTCTGGTTCTGACTTGTAGAAGATATTTCCAAAATGTCGGCTCAAATACCAGAAGAACGCTAGATGCATGTTTGACAACCCTTGTTTGCGCCTTCTGCAGTTTCCCAAGTCCTGTTTATGAGTTCTTTTTGCTGTTTGCTGTCTATTGTGGGCGTGCAGCGGGTGCTTGCTCCTTGGTGCTTCATCCAATGGATTTTTTTTTTCTTTTTAATTTCGTGGCCATTGGCCTTCGTCGCCTTTCTTGGTCTGCTGCTCTGCGCTCTTTCTCCTATAACTTCTCCAGCTCAGGCACCTTACTGGATGTCTCGTTAAGGAGACAGCAGGGGTACGACAGGAGCATGTCTTCGGTATAGAGCCATAACACCATACTTGAAACAAGTTGAGGACAACTCCTGAAATTCCACGTAGTATTCTTACCTTTGATCGGTGGAGGAGCTAGAAATCTATATGAGGGGGCTGACTTTCAATTGTGATGATTTGAGAGGGAGGCCAAGGCTTTAGCGCTTAGTTATCTCCTAAATTTGTAGCCCTCCTGGTATGGCTGTTAATGAACTAAGTCATTTATGAACGATTCGGTGTACGATTCGGTGTGCGATTCGAGAAAAACTCGTTCGACACTCGATTCGTCTTAGTCTAGCTTACTCGTGAACATGCTCGTTAACTAAACGAGTTGAACTCAAGCCATATCATGTTCAACTCGAAAGCTCGCGTACAAGCTCATTTAACGGTTTGGCATCAAAAAGGATTGAAATTCATGGTCTTTTTGTTTTGAAATTGAGATAAATATCGTATTTTATTTTGTCAGAAACTTTGCTATAGGTTTGAATGTAATTTTGTGCTCAGTTCTAGCTCAATCTTGAGTTATCATGAATATTTGATGAGTTGAATTTGATTTTGGGCTCGTTAAACTTATTTGGCGAGTCAAACTCAAGGAGCCGAGCTCGACCTTGGAAATATTTTAACAAGTCGAGCCCGAACAATGACAAAGTTCAGCTCGGCTCGGATCATTAACAGATGATATAATCTAACTCCGCTAGTACCTTCGACCTTATACTTCGAGAGAAATTAGAAAGGAGCTCTGTAAAATCTAACTTCTACGGGACATGAACAAATCGACCCCTAGCTTAAGAACTTGTTGAAACCGATTTGATTTTTCAATTTTCCTCGAGATGAAAGAATTCTATTGGCAAGTTATACTAAACAAACCCAAGCAAGCAAGAGTCGAGCAGAGCAGACACCGGTATCGAACCCTTTCTTCCATTGTGAACTTTTGTGTGTTTTTCTTCAAAGATGTCTGTTCGTTTTCAATCAGTTGATGAGAAACAGGATCATCCATAGAAAGACAAGAATCCAGAACATCCATAAGTTACAATATTACATTAGTATCCACTTCCCAATCAAACAAAAGCTACTAGGAATAAAAGCAAACATCCCCGCTTAACTTCCAGACTAGCAGATAAACTCCCTCCTAACCTCGCTCATTCAATCACTGTCTAGACCTCGACTCGGCTCGTCTGGCTTCATCCGGGGTCGAAGGGAACAACTCAACATACCTCTTCCCAATCGTCATCTTGTCTTTGTTCATTGCTCTTTTTGCCTCCTCTGCTGATACGAACTCCACAAATGCTTCACCGGTAGCCTTCCCATCAGGGCGGCAAGCTATATGAACCCTCTCTTCCACCAGCTGGTAGTCCCTGAAGAACTCGACGATCTCAGGTTTCTTTACCGAGAAGGGCAAACCTCGCATCTTCAAAATCTCGGTGTACTCCATCTGCTCCTTATCTTCGAACCTCTTCCCTCGAGTTGGAGGAGGGCTGCTTCCATGGTAGTCATTATCATAGATCCCCTCATAGTTCACCTCAGCAGCAACTGCATTGTAGTAGTCCTGTCGCTTGCACCTGAAGACCTCGACGTATCTCCGCCCCATGTTCTGGCGGTCCTTCTGCAGGGCAAATTCGACCTGGATCGAGTTTGCAAACACAACGAAAGCCTCACCCGTGAATCGTCCGTTCTTGTTGGCCAGGAGCACATCAACAATGTCAAGCCCGACGAAGAACTTGAAGATGTCGATATCAGTGCAGTTGAATGGCAGGCCCCTAAGGCGGACCACAGGGAAAGGAGGCGCCTGGATTCCAGCAGCAGCAGCGGAGGAGGCATAGGCGTATGGCTGAACTTGGAAGCCGGTCACGGCTGCAGCATTGGCGGTCACTGCAGCAAAGTAGGGATTGGATTCGATCATTCTCTGTCTCTTTGAGCCCACCATCTCGTACCCATCCGAAACCCCCCCGCTTCCCAACATTGCCCTTCAATTATCCAAATACCCAAAAGATGGGGAAATAGAAAAGAAAATTCCCACCCTGTTAATATAAACCATACCCAACCCACATTGCCCTCATACCTACTAGGCTATACTAGTCCACAATAAGAAAACCATCGTCATGAAATTTGAACCCACCGAAAGCAAATAGCAGATGAACACAACAACAAGTACATATTGAAGAAGCAAATCAATCATCAATGATGATACCAAGTTAAGCAGCCAACAATGGTTATCCGAAGCTTTAATGAGATTCAGATAGCAGAAATTGTAAAGAGAATCCATGCGCCCAAATCAGTCTAATCCCACAAAAATCTAACAATCCTAACATGGACGACGTTAATTTGGACAAGTGATGCATCTTTCAACAAGGCGGTCGACAGATTGATTACGAATTAGGGTTCGAAGGGAACAAGAGAGCAATTCAATCAGAGTAAGATACGAAATAAACTAGGGGAAAAAGTAGACGGTGTTTCGCGGAATACTTACCCTCTGGATCCGTACATGGCGTTCAAGGATTCTGATCAGACTCTTGTGACCGGAATTAGAGAACCCGAATAGATTTTCGGGGAGAAACTTGTTCTTGCGCGACGTCGGCGACTTAGAACGGGGAGAGAGAGACAATGGCAATAAAAGATAGATCGCTAGGGTGGGAAGGAATCGTAAACTGGCAACTGGCAAGCAATCGGTTTGGCGGTTTTCCCCCACTTTGGCTTTTCTCTCTTTCCCACCGGGCTTCTGGGCCCTCGGTTCGTAATTCGGACTTTATTCGGTTGCTGCTGCTTGCCTTTGTTTTTTTTGTTTTTTTTTTTTTTGGTAGAATGCTTTTTTTTTAATCCTTATGCCAAGAAGGAATAAGGATGGGCTGATTCAGAAAAAAAAAGGCGGGCTGATTCAGCCAGGCCCAAGTAAGAAAGGTAAGGTGTGTGCATATTTAAATTCGGCTTCGGATTCGGTTAAGTGCAATGATCGGTCCACACAGCATCAAATCATATCGAGTCGATATTTGGATCAAATCAAATTGTAACAAATATATTTCGACTCTTTTTTTTTTTTTTTGTATCTAGGTGGAGCCATTTAAGACTAAGGGGGGACCTTTGCACTGCATTAGCCCAAAAAATATAGTGTTAATATTTTAATAGAAGTCTTGTCCTCGACTTGATGATCTTGAGTCGGTCCAAAGCGAGATAGTTACGAGATCACACCCTCTATCTAAGCTCTGACTCGAATCCCTTCTCCACAAGAGACTGTGGTTATAAGCACACACAGCAAAATCCTCGTCACGCTAACGAACTGTCACTGCGAGAGCCCCACAAGGAAGATCTGGTGAAGCTACTTTACAAGTCGTTGATAGCCAACCAACATACTTGTTGTCAACCAACATACTCGCACGTTGGCAGATTTCTATTGACATCATTGGCTTCTCTATAGTCATCCTAATTCCTACACACTCGCCACTAAGGCATATTCCTATCGGAGGATAACGCTAAAGCTCTCGATCGTGTTCACACACGATCCAATCCTCTCTAATTTTTTACTAAATACTGACTTGAGAGTTAGAGGGTCAACCAACAATTTAAGGTGGGCTTCTTTTGCAGGTCCACCGGAGTGTGGATCATTGTATCAACCTGCATCAACCGTTCCATACCGACAAGAAGATTTCCGACTAGCAATGATGACAGAGAGAATCACACAAGTTGAGACCAAAGGTTTCCTTCTCTTAAATAGCTTATAACCCGGCCGTTGGCCGGAATGTTCATAGTTTAATATTTATATTTTTATGTTATGTTTAAGTCTATTGATTCGTTTAAGTTTATTGAAAACATTCAATCGAGATGCTACATAAAGAATGAATATATAGGTCGAACATTCAGGGAAATACCCTCCTCATTTAAGAATATAAAAATGTATCATTAATTCCATTTTCATAATGATAATTGAGCTCCCATTAAAATGATATTGGTTAATAGATTGTCTAAAAATATATAATATAAAAGCTCATTGGAATTCCCACACGATCCATAGATAGTTTGAAACTGAAATGAAACCTCACAATCCCACATAAATGGTTCAAAGCTCTCCTCTATGAATAACATGCCACTAATAAAAAAAGAAATGAATTTATAAAAAAAAAACATAAATGAAGAGTTGTTGATTAAAGTAAATCATATGCTAACAACTCAACTAAAAGGAGACCATCAAAACTTGAGAGCAAATGACAAAATTAGAGTTACATCCAGTATATTAATAGACTCAATCAAAATAATGAGGCACAAAATTAGACACTCCTTATCTACAGGTTCCAGTAGTTTGAATAGTAAATCGACCTTAACTTTAGTAAATCAATCAATGATTCCTCATTTTAACATAAACATAGGTTGTGGTAGTTGCAACAACCATAACACCTAAAGATCCCATAGTTTCCACTATCCGTTGTACAACCAACTTTTTATCCCCTCCATCTTCAATCTCTCGGCGTATATGTTTTAAACCAAAATTCAATTTCTAATCCTCCTTCTGCAACTCCATTTATGCTACTTTGATGGATCTTCTCTCCACGAACCTGAATTTCTCTTTCAATTGAGTTTCTTGTCAGCTTGATCTCCAACTCCTCAATCCTCTTTCTTGTATTTGGCCAACTCATCTTCCTCGGGGCAGTTTTAATAAGCTCGTAAAACCAACACTCATCTTCAATTCCATCAATATGCTCTTCTCCTCCTTCTCTGCTTTCACCTGATCCAGTTCACTTCCATGCCCTTCAACACCCTCTCCATTTTCATTAATATCCTGATCATCTACTACTTCTCTCTCTTCAACTGCTCCGATTTTGCTTCTATGTCTTACAATACCCTCCTTGGTTCAATCACTACCCTGACCAACTACCTCTTCACTGTCTTCACTTGCTGCAAACTACTTCCATGACTTTTTATACACCTTCCTCAAAATCACAATCAACTAAACAATATCAATCCATGGCCTTGGATCAGTTTTAAACTCTCTATGAACACCTCAATACCACAAAGCCTAAATCTAAATATTCTTTCAGTTAATCATGAACTTGAGTTTATCAAAATCTAATCCACTCCTTCTAAGTTGGAATTCCATCCCCCAAGCTCATTTTTGGTTCATTTGATCCCACATAACCATGATATTATATCTCTAACTAAAATAAATCAAAGCATTTTACAAAAAGAAACCGAACCATGAACTTTATCTGTTACCAAATCCAAACACGATTTCTTCCTCTCACCACTTCCCTTCCCAAACCCAATATCAACCTTTACTCCAAGTTCACACCCACAACTCCCAGTGTGTTGCGTGAAAGCTTACTTTTAGCAAACATTATGCTTGCAATTAGATTAATGGACACCAGCAAGCGCCAAAATATTCCACCAGACGATGAGTTGTCTTCACTTTGAGTTTTGTCATAAAACTGTTGGCCGATATGTTTATCAGTTTGGAGTCCATTAGATGAGCAATACCGAATCAATTGCAGTGAAGTTACCGGTCACAGTAATGACAATGTGAAACATATGTTAACAAACGCGAATATGGGTTACTTTTATGGACTGACATTAGAATGATGGGATTGGACAATGAGATCGTCATTAGTTAAGCGACATGTAAATTGGTTCATTTGGTAGGACACAAACCGTTAAAATTCTAAATTATTTGGGTGAGTTTGTATTTAGTGTTTTCAAAATGTGGTATATGAGTTAGGTGATTAAAATATCTAAACCCAAACGAACCGACCTATGTACACCCCTAGAAAGAGTTTCAAAACTTAGTATTTAACCGAACAAAAATGTTCAGAGAACCAGTCCCCTAAAGTTTGCACAAAGATATATTGCTTCACTATAGTTCTGGAAATTAATGGTAATTTAAGAATTCTATATCGCTTCTACATATTCAATACTATAATTCGATGTGAAATATTCGAACCAACAATTTTTTTGTTGCAAATTTTTGGTTATCGTCTATTTATAAGATAGATAAAATTTTAAGTTGAGTATTAAACTATAATAAAAATAAAAATATCAAAATCGAAGTATCAAAACACCAAATAAGTACTTACGAAATATTTATTGGGCTAGCTAACTGTTGAAAAGTTCTGTGATTTCATATTTTAGCTTCGTATATATTTTTAATTTAAAAAAATACAACAAATCTACATAGTCTAATTGATTTTAAACCTTCACTTTGTTTGAAGTGACCATGGTTCAAATCTCAATATGTCTATCTTTTTCTGTAAATAAATAAAAAAATACAGATAATTGTGAAGACAAAATGCCCTTCCTTATTTCCCTCTCATTGCAGGAAATTTGAAAAAGGAGATTAAGTTTCAAATAATTAAATCATATACCCTAAATCTATAGAACTTAAACCCTAATATCACATATACTAAGAACATAATCAATAATTCTGATTCGCCAAGATGTATACAACATACCATATTCACTATATTAGGATTTAGAGAATCATGATATATGATTTAGTTACATGATTAATCTATGGTCTAGATAATGTTATTTAACTAAGGAGATGTAATAACCCTCAATCCATCGAGTGTACCATAGAATTTCCAATGTATATACACATACGATTGTTTGTTAAATTTAACCAATGATAATTGGCTCATTTGTCAATGGTATTTAGTCCTTCAATTCTATGCTTATAATTGTCAACCATTAGGAAAATTGTTAGCCACTGATTTTTGGTCATTCACTTATAGCATTGAAAATGTCTCGTTACAAAACCATAGATCACAAATGTCAAATTTTATCTTTTGAAATAGAGTTTTGTATAGCACTTTTGTAAACAATCATTGTATTCTTACAAACTACAAAGTCATGTAACCTAATAAATGTAAAAGTTGTAAGACATACATAAACTCAAAATGTACTATTTGATTCTTGGTGAATAATTGTGTGATTAAAGGAACTCACTTAGTTGATTCATAAAGCTAGGTATATCATGATGGTTCACTTTGTAAATAATTACAGTTATTAATTAATTCGATGATTGATTGTTGCGGTGAATAGTCCTATGATTTTGAGATATTTCAGTATTTTCTCTCTTTAATTCAAAAAATACATAAACATTGTTGTTGTCCAGTTGGTTAGGGATATTGACTATCAATTTGTAGGACTCGAGTTCAAGTATTTGTAATGACATTTTTTTCTCGTAAGAAGATATTTAAGTTCTAAGTTGAGCTTATAAATTTACCCTTAGCTACAATTAAGGAGAGTCCAAGGACTTTGAAATGCTCAAAATCTCCTGAAGAACTGCTATATATAATAGAGGGATATTTTAGGATTTAGAGAACCATGATATAGGATTTAGTTACGTGATTAATCTATGGTCTAGAATCTAGATAATGTTATTTAACTAAAGAGATGCAATAACCCCAATCCATCGAGCGAACCATAGAATTTCCAATGTATATACACATACCATTGTCTGTTAAATTTAGCCAATGGTAATTGGCTCATTTGTCAGTGGTATTTAGCCCTTCAATTCTATGCTTATAATTGTCAACCATTAGGGAAATTATTAGCCAATGATTTGTGGTCATTCACTTATAGCATTGAAAATGTCTCGTTACAAAACCATAGATCACAAATGTAAAATTTTATGTTTTGAAATAGAATTTTGTATGGCACTTTTGTAAACAATTCTTGTATTCCTATAAACTACAAAGTCATGTAACCTAATAAATGTAAAAGTTGTAAGACATACATAAACTCAAAATGTACCATTTGATTCTTGGTGAAGAATTGTGTGATTAAAGGAACTCACTTAGTTGATTCATAAAGCTAGGTATATCATGATGATTCACTTTGTAAATAATTACAGTTATTAATTAATTTGATGATTGATTGTTGCGGTGGATAATCCTATGATTTTGAGATATTTCAGTATTTTCTCTCTTTAATGCAAAAAAATACATAAACATTGTTGTAGTCTAGTTGGTTAGGGATACTGACTATCAATTTGTAGGACTCGAGTTCAAGTATTTGTAATGACATTTTTCTCATAAGAAGATATTTAAGTTCTAAGTTGAACTTACAAATTTACCCCTACGTACCGTTTGGTATAAATGAATTCCATAAGTTTTGAGGAATTCATTCTGAAATGAAACATTTTTGTATTTGATATTTAAAAGAATTAATTTCTAATTCTAAAATTTGAATTCTATGGAATTGGAACTAGTTATAGCAATTCTGAGGAATTGAGATGGAATTTGCAAATGAATTCCACAAGTATTTACTAATTATAATAGAATGATATAATTATTCTCATTTATTAACTAAATTACTTATGCATATGACATACCAAAACACAGGAATTCATTTGACAATGAATTTTACATGGCGATTCATTTTATTTCTAAAGATTTGAATATGACATACCAAACACAAAATTTCATTTCACTGTGAATTCTATACGGTAATTCATTTTACAATGAAATGAATTCTCGATTCATTTGGTACCAAACGGTCTGCTAGCTACAATTAAGGAGAGTGCAAGGAATTTTCATGAAGAACTGCTATATATTATAGAAGGATGTTTTATCGTTAGTAGTCGGTTAAGTTTTTCACGGGCAAATTTTTTTAATTGATGACAATACTACAACTTTAACTTATAATCTTCTTGTAGTTTATGAGTTCAAGTGGTAGTATTGTTTATTTATTTTTAGATAGAATGAAATTTAAGGAATTAAAAAATTTAAGATAATAAAAATGACTTGGAAAATCAAGTTATTGTGGTTACTTGAACCTTCAGAAAATTCGAAATGGTGAAGACTAATTTAAAAAAATGTAGAGTATAATTATATTGATTAATTTCGCATATTTATTGGTCTTGTTTGAAATTGTGAGAATATGCCAATTATAATAAAAAAATTCATCCAAGTCCTTAAACATTTATTTTAGGTGATCTGACAATCAAATTGTTGATGCGATACTTTGAAAATAAAGGATAGTAAACTCTATTAGAAGTCATTTTTGTGAGATGGAAGATACTGAATCCAAAAATCAAGTTGACGATGTTTGCAATTCAAGAGGCAAGTACAATAGCAAGATGAAACCGCTATAATTTTGTGACCAAACCATAGCAATTCGTCACCTTTTCAACCAATACAACCAGTCCTACAACATGGGATACGGATTGTGTAAATTATTAATCAAGGAAGCTCGACAATAGGCACTTAACATGATTCATGAAAGTCACAAAATCATTGCATTTCAGAGAAAAGAAGGTTTACACGATGATTGATTCTTCCAGCAAAATGGAGATACAATAATGGTCCTTATTTCGTTTGGAGAAGCCATATATATCGCTGGGGGAAAACAAGACTCAAAATGATAAGCAACTCCTTTATTTTCTGAACACTTAGAAGTAGTTGCTTTTGTAGAAGTTCTTGAGAAAATCGGAAGTCCCTTCATCCTTAGTTCCCAAATCATGCACCAGTCCTCGCTGGCCCACTACATATTGCCCAATAATATGGTGCCGCTGCTTTGAGTGCTGCACAATGTTGTGCAACTCTTCTGTCCCCTTCTGAAGCAGCATGTCGATCACCTGCAGGTTCTTTCTCATCAGTGAAACCATACAGCATAATGTAGCGAGTGTTCCCAGATATGAATTTTCAGAAAGATTGATGACAACCAGGCTAATGACTCCTCCCTACTTCAATCCATCTATGGACTCTAAAGAGCAGATTCTCAGAGATTGCACAGGCAAACTAACAGGCACAGTTCAGACACACACTTGATTGAGTAAGACAAGTATGGTACAGGTGCAACAGATAACATGCGAGCATTGCAGAATGGTTTTGTGCTGCCAGTTATGTAAACCGATTGAGCAAGCCAATAAACGTAACTCAGATGACATAAAGTTCAAAGATTTAGAGGATTCAGTTCTACTTGCCAACGGCTCATGGACAGTGAGAAAGAGCATCCTCCATCACACATGCCGGGAGAGTACGCCTGAGCAGGGGCACCAACCTCTGCTTTATCACAGCTAAGTTCTTCTAACATGATTCATAGTTCACTTTGAAATGTAAGTTCAGACCATAGGTCTCCTTTTTCTCATTATGAATAATGCTCATCTTCTCTAAAACAATGGAATTTTAGAAAACATAGCGGAAGTTTTTACTTGGGCGCCATCACTTAACAACTTCCTTCTCCATCTTACTTCTATCAAGGGAATTCTGTCAAGCAGTCTAACTTTGACAGTGTGTAAATATTACTTGCGCACCAACCTCAATCTAGCTACATCTACCATCTGATTAATAAGATTAAAAGATAAAACCTTCTTCACTACCGTGGCCTATCTTCCAAGTTAATAGATAAACTAATACTCTAAATCCGGAATTGCTACTGTCTTCAGAAGGAAATAACAGCAGAACAAATGCATTCTATTACAAGGAAACCCTCATAAAAGTAGGGATTGGGAATTGAATGACTAGATGTACATAAACCAATACTAGAAAGGCTAACAGGCAATAGGAACAACCAAGCTGCCTCAAGCCTCCATCTTTCCCTAATGCATAGCATAAAACTTAACAAAATAAGAGAGTCATAACCTTTGCGCATACACTGGAACTCTGGAAGTCCATTACTGAGAGAATACTGAACTAAAGTCGAGAGTCAGTCAATTCACAGGAAAAGCATGTGCATTTCAGAAGAATTCTGTGATAGGAAGGCCGCTTCACCTAGGCTATCTAACACCTAGGAAACAATAGGCGAGATAGTGAAGGGCTCCATAATCGCGGTCCCCAATTAGGGCAAAACGAATTCGGAGCCGTAAGATAGAAATGAGAAGAAAGGGGAAGGAGAACCTTGGGATTGGTGATGTGAGCGTGCCTGCGGATCTCGGAGGAGACGGCGGAACGGAGCTGGGATTCGTTGACGACGTCCTGGAGATTGTAGATTTCCATGACGGTAGGGATGGATCGGCAGGTGGTTTTGAAGAATTCGAACACCCGAGCCCTCGCCTCTGCGAGGCTTGCCGAGTTCGCCTGTACCGTCACAAACTTTAACGAAGCAGCTGCTGCCCTCTCCCCCATTTCGCCGAATTGTTTCTTCAAGCACTCTGATCCCGGTAATCTTTGCTACCTCTCTCAGTTCACGCGACGGTGTTGATTCTCTGGACGAGAAACGATGGCTGGTAGCGGAGAAACTGGTTTCGGGAGCAAACCTGTCTAGACTTATTGACTGGACGGGCTCAATCAAGTGCACTTGGTGGTCAAATGACGAAACGACAACGGTTTGTCTACAGTCAGGGCATTGCCGTTGAGGAAGTTCAAAGGGTTCAGGATTAAAAGGCACAGGGTCATTTTAGACATAATTTTGTCCTCATGGTCAATGGGCAATGGGTTGGTCCAAATTGATTTTTGGATCGTACCACACCGAATTGAATATAGTATGGTTTGATCATTGATTTCATAAATTTTATAAATATTGAAGAAAAATGGAGGAAATTGACATTTGGACCGGCCCAAAACGGACCAAACAGACCGAATTCACTATTGGTCCGGTCCTTGATCCTAAGTTATCTTTAACTACTGAATCGCGATTCTCCTGAATTTGGTCCGATTCGATCCGGACCTGACCTGACCGATGTCCATCCCAACTCATGGTTGTTCACTTGTGAGGCTTCTTTCTACACTTAAAGGTGTGTTTGGCTTCAAATACATATATTTTAAATGGCAGTATTTCGGGGGAAAATGGCAGTATTAAATTGCATTTAAATTAAATTCATTTTTTGGATACTTATTTATATTTTATTGGTATTTTAGATTTTTTATATTAATTTTGTACAAATTTTGGAAACGTAATGATCATATTGTAATTATTAAAAATAGAAAACCGTGTAACCAATGATTGGAGGACAAGTGGCGGAGAGTACTTATTGATAGAGCATCCACATCAATAAAATTACAAAAGCAATTGCATTTGTGTTTTTTATTGTCAACTCAATTTTTTTTCAATCTCCATCACATTCACTTATCACCTACATCAATGCAATTACCTTGAAATTGCATATGTAAGCCTAACTTATTGTTTTAATAAAATAAAAGTTTGTATGTTTATTATTTTTTAATAAAAAGAAAAAAATACTTATGTGGCAATTGCATATTGAATTGTATAAAATGAAAGCTTGCAATATTGCAATTGAGATTTACATCCATGCAATTGCATTTCGATTGCCACATCATTTTGCAATTCAATATGATAGGTTGATGTGGAACCTCCGCTTATAAACGTTGTACTAAGAGTATACATGTATTCTGCAGAATACAATGTTTTTTAACTTGTTTTAATCACAAAATGCATGTATAGAGAATGCATGATGTATTCATAATACATAGAAAATTATGTACTATCAATCTCACCTTTTTTTGTGAGATTTAGTGTCCATAGTTCATTTCATGTATAATCCATGCATTCTTCTATGTTTTCCAAACAAAGCATTCTTAAAACCTAGTATACACATAATCTTAGTACACACATTATTGTAATACACCATTTCCGGAATAAAAGATTCCAAACAACCCCTTAAGTTATTCTCCTCCAAAATAGCTTTTGTGGCTCTCCTTCAAAGAATAGAAAATTCTATTCAATGGAGGAAAAAACCTTAATTTCCTTCTCGGAGTTGGACGAGCCTCGGCACCTTTTGGGCAGAGATGGTCCGGCCATGGCTCCGAAAATTGTGGTTTGCTGGTTTGACAGTGGTGGTGGTGGTCTGCCTGCGTTTAGTCCGACGATGGTGGTTTGGTGCTGGCGGTGGTGGTTTGCCGGTGGTGTGAGGGTGTTTGAATCAGTGTTGATTGGTATGAAAGATCCCAAATTAGAGGGCAAAAATGACATTTTAATTTAAAAAATGGGTGGCAAATTGAAGAATTTGATGATGCGGAAATAAATGAACACGAGACAAGGGATTTTACGTGGTATCCTCGATCGATTGATTGACCGAGACTAATCCACGGTGAGCTCATAAGAGCTCACGACTGATCTCTTATTAGGATTACATCTTGACGGCTTGCTATCACACAAGTCGATAGCTAAGCTTATATAGATAAACTTAGGGTTAAAACCCTAATCCAACGAATCAGACGAGGCCCAACAAGGCCCAATACTAACACGGTTTAAGTAACCGCAACACTCCCCCTCAAGCGAAGACATGAATGACAAGAATGTCGAGCTTGAAGAAGTAAACGTGAAGAACAAGCATGATGGCTTGAACCACAAAACTCAAGATGAATAACATCTCGGACGAGGTTGATTGGAGATGACTGACTCTCTCTGAACAACCTGATGATGGAGACGATTGACTACGTCTCTTGAACTTGAAGACACTTGGTACATCGCGATCGACCTGATGACTGAGTTAGTCGATCGACGTATGTTGACCTCCTATTCTCCCCCTCAAGCTGGAGCATGAACAACGTGAATGCCCGGCTTGAAAAGCGATGAATGGTTGATATGTGCCCACTAATGAACCGGAAGAGGGGACGCCCATTTCTTAGATCGTGAATGCCAGCTGGACGATGAAGGGACGATTACTTCTTTGATCGTACTACCTTTTGAACGCCAGGGGACGACCATTGTATGGATCGTGAATGCCTCGACCTGATGACTTGAAAATTTTGTTGATGAAAGTTGTGTCTCCCCAACACTAGCAATTGAAGGGACGACCACTGCAAGTCGCGATTGTCTTCAATGCCATGACTTCAATCGATGTTGGTGAAGATTTTCCTCTCTAAGTGACCTTGACCGGCCATAATGACAACTTGACTCCAGCTGTGGATAGAGTATGAATTCCACGGCACACCTCGTGGGCTGTAAACTTCGGAAGTATCCCTGAACTGAGTGTTGATGGTGAGGATACTAGTCACAATAAACAAGCTGGACAAAGCACCTGTGACTACGTGTGCAATAAATAATGGAATCAATGAAGGAATAGGTCACCAAAAGCAAACAGACTCTATGCTGCCCCAATTTCTCCCAAAACTGATCCCTGTGCACTGCGAACACCACCACAGTCCACAACCACTATAAACATTAACCTGGACCACGTGCAATGCCAATGCCCCACGACAAATTGTGACTGCTCGCCGGAACGATGACAAGTAAATTATGGTGACCCACCAACCGGTCTTCACTCCCCAAGTCGTCCTCGTCAAAGTGCTCACATTGGCGCCCTCGTCAGGTTGATTGAAATCCAACGGCCGTAGAAAATCGTCGGCCGGTGACTTCTCGACAAAACCTGCCTCTTGATTTTCACAAGCTGAACGAGAGTCACCCCCACGGTTGTGATTTGATTGAGACGCTCTCGGCGCCTTATCTGATTCTGTTTGAGCCTGGCCTTCCTGTTGCCAATGACGAACAAGACTTCGGACGAGGACAGCGCCAATCGAGACGAAGAAGAACAGACCGAGCAGTAGGGAACTCATGATCGCCATGGATGGAAGCGGGGCTGCGGGCGATGGATTTTCCTTGAACGGCAACTGGGCGATGAGAAACAAATCAGAACTGGCAGCGGCAGTGCTGCGATGACTCCAGCTCTGTTGCGGTTGACGATGAGGCTAGTAAAAAGCCGATATGGGCAATTCCGGAGACGCGACTGCCACGATCTCGTTAGACTGAAGACTTGGGACACAGTGGCGGCTACCACCTACGAGAAAAGGAACCACAGTTTTTCACCGGGAGTTCAGCGGTGTCGGTAGGATTGACGACTGCTAAAGGATGCCGAGGGCGCTGATGGCATGGACAGCGACCGAGACAGAATTGGAGGCCGGAATGAACATCGGCTCTCCTAATGAAAAAAACCATGAATGGCTTGCGATTGATGACTCACGGCGGAATGGACTTCGCCTAGGTCGACTATGCTCAGCGGTATAACATCGCTGATGAACAAAACAGGCCAGCGGGATGACCATCGCTGGTGCGCGGAAGACTAGCTGAATCTACAGCTCTGATACCATGAAGAATTTGATGATGCGGAAATAAATGAACACGAGACAAGGGATTTTACGTGGTATCCTCGATCGATTGATTGACCGAGACTAATCCACGGTGAGCTCATAAGAGCTCACGACTGATCTCTTATTAGGATTACATCTTGACGGCCTGCTATCACACAAGTCGATATCTAAGCTTATATAGATAAACTTAGGGTTAAAACCCTAATCCAACGAATCAGACGAGGCCCAACAAGGCCCAATACTAACACGGTTTAAGTAACCGCAACACAAATAGTAAAGACTTAGGCATCCAGTTGTTTGCTATCGAGGAAAATTTAACAAGCACAAGCAACCGCCTGCATCCGGTGGCAAGCTTGGTAACGTAAAATGGGCCGCAGCCTATGCTCACCAACATGTCATTCTGGTGTCACTTGGTAGAATCCGACGGAGAACTACTTCAGTTACTCTTTTGTGATTGTAGGACTAGTGACAATTAGGGGTGGGCATTCGGTCGGTTCGGTTTCGACCGAACCGAAATTATGAATAACGGGTCCCCGAATTCTCTCAAACCCCAAACCGAATTCGAACCGAATTAAAATTCGGTTCGATCGGTTTGAACAGAATTATAATTCGGTTCGGTTCGGTTTTATACACAAAACCGAAATTGAGAGGCTACTTGTATCTTCTCACTTTTAAATTATTTTTCACCCTTAATATAAACAATAAATATGTAATTATATGCATCATCAATGATAAAATCAAACTTTTCAACACATAAGTAATAAAACATTTCAAATATTTAAGTCTAAAAACAAATACAAACATAAAAATCCACCATTTGAGCTTGCAATTACTGTATTTCGGTTTTTCGGTCGGAAATTCGGTTCGGTTGAAAGAACCCTGATTTCCGAAATATCCAGATTTTCCTTCCGAATTCCGAACCGAATAACATTAGTTCGGTTTAATTCGGTTTCGGTTCGGGTTTACCGAACCAGTTGCCCACCCCTAGTGACAATGATCTCGACTTCTTACAAGTTTTCAAGTTGTAAAGGCCATCTAATTTATGGTCAAGTCAAGAGGTTTGAGGGATGGACAATCTTTTTCAGCCAAGTCACCGCATTCTCCTCGAGCCCCCCCCCCCCACCAG